CACGAGTCAGACACGTCCGCCAGAGTGCGGCGTCCGGTGGTTGAAAGGAAACTAATAGACACAAAAAACATCATATATTTTCCATTTATTGGAAAATGTGGAATTGTCAATGCATTTGCTGTAAAGCAGACATTGGCAATGATGATGATGATGGCAAATTGTGACAAAGGAATGAGTCATAATGTTGTCAAATAAGATATTTTTGAAAATCTGAATAAAATTTCTTTAGAAAAGTTGCTGGAGTTCGAACGAAATTTCTTTAGAAAAGTTGTTCGGAGTTCGAACAAGTGTTCTTTAGAAAAAGTTGCTCGGATTCCGAAAAAGTTTTCTTTATAAAAATTGCTCGGAGTCCGAACAAGTTTTCTTTATAAAAATTGCTCGGAGTCCGAAACAAGTTTTCTTTAGAAAAATTGCTCGGAGTCCGAAACAAGTTTTCTTTAGAAAAATTGCTCGGAGTCCGAAACAAGTTTTCATTATAAAAATTGCTCGGAGTCCGAAACAAGTTTTTTTTATAAAAATTGCTCGGAGTCCGTAATAAGTTTTCTTTAGAAAAATTGCTCGGAGTTCGAAACAAGTTTTCTTTAGAAAAGTTGCTGGGAGTCCGAACAAGTTTTCTTTAGAAAAGTTGCTCTGAGCCCGAACAAGTTTTCTTTAGAGAAGTTGCTCGGAGTCCGAACAAGTTTTCTTTAGAAAAGTTGCTCGGAGTCCGAACAAGTTTTCTTTAGAAAAGTTGCTCGGAGTCCGAACAAGTTTTCTTTAGAAAAGTTGCTCGGAGTCCGAACAAGTTTTCTTTAGAAAAGTTGCTCGGAGTCCGAACAAGTTTTCTTTAGAAAAGTTGCTCGGAGTCCGAACAAGTTTTCTTTAGAAAAGTTGCTCGGAGTCCGAACAAGTTTTCTTTAGAAAAGTTGCTCGGAGTCCGAACAAGTTTTCTTTAGAAAAGTATGTTATCTAATTTACTATTGAAAAGTTCATCGGATTATTATCAAGTTTTCTAATTTATACAAGTTTTTTCTTTAAGTGTTTTTTCTGTATATTTTCTTCATGATTTTCTTAAAGTTTTTCTATTTTTTTCCTTTTATCTGAATTTAAAAATGTCACTATTTCATCAATTAAACATTTTATTTTGTATATATCTGTTAAAATCGTGGAAATTAACTCAATCCGCGGCTATATATTACCCGGATTATTATAATTTAGAAGTAAACGATCAAAACAATCAGGATTTTTTACCCAATATCAATGCGCCACAAAAAAGATATACAAATGAGCCGGAAGAAGAATATTATCCGCAAAATTGTAGACCTATAATATACACAACTTCCACTACAACACCACTTCCTCTTACTACCACCAGTAGTTCTTTGGATAATGAAACTACCGATCCTCTTATGGGAAAAGAAGCTCAAGATGTTATAGATCATATTATTGATATCTTACGATCTATGCGGGAACATGCTATAGGGTTAATACGTAATATGAATGCCTTAGAAATGGATATATTATCATCCTCGCCCGGCAATAATGTGGGGTCTTCATGTAAAAATTCTTCAAGCTCTTTCGGTGATTCTATGGATGTTATGTCCAAAATAGTTTATCCTGATGTTTTATCACAAACACCTGGTTATGTTATTAGCGAATGGTCTAAACCCTTAAAAACAGATCCCTTAAAAGAAGTAGGTCAAACAAATGATTTTGTAGCAGAGGCCCAAGAAGCTGTCAAATCATGGAAACAACAAATCGATGCCTGTAAACTCATTTTAGATAATGCAGTGCACAATGCTTTACAGAAGGTTAATATGAAAAGTGATTTGATTAGTGATCCTATAACAAGAGCGAATTTGAAATTATTGAAAAATGAAAAGGATAATAATTATTCTAGATTGGATAAAGAGAATCCTGTTTCAAAAGGTTTTCAAGAATTGACCAGAGCTGTACAGCAAGAGCCAGAAAATAGGCAAAAGTTAGAGTTTAATAAAAATCACAAATATCAGGGCCTATATGATGCTTTTCATTTAAAAGAGGGAGATTATTAAGGTTATTTTAGAAATATTTTTTTAAAAATGTTTAATTTATTACAATATTAATATATTTTGTTAATAAACGTTAAATAATTGTTTTTTAAGGTTTTATTGTAAAAAAATCTCTTAAAACATGAATTTGTTCATATTCACTAAATTTATTATTGAACTTATTAAGTTTTGTTTTAATTACATCAACTTTTTAGTTGTTATCTATTTATTTTAATGGTAACGGTTTTGTTTTGTAGTGTTTCTGTATAGCTTTTCATTTGTAGAGTTTTAACTCACCACTCTACTGTTGCTTTTAGTGGTGGCTATTATTTATTAGTTTATAAGTGTTGCCAATACACCGAAAGTTACCGTTTGGTTTTTATAAAAGTGTTTAAATTTTGTTTTGAACAGATTTTGATAAGCTTTAATAAAGAAAAACCGATTCGATTCTGATGAACATTTCTAAAGAAATTTTGATCAGCTTCTAATAAGCATTTCTGAAAAATATGTTTTCTAAAGAAAACTTGATCATTTACTAACTTAAGTCTGATGAACTTTTCTAGTGAAAAATGTTGAACTTTTGTGGAGAAAACTTGATCCGAGTCTGATGAACTTTTCTAAAAAAAAATTGATCAATGTCTGATGAACATTTCCAAAGAAAACTTGATCAAAGTATGTTGAAGTTCTCTAAAGAAAAATTGATATAAGAGTCTGATAAATATTTTAGTTCCAGTTCTGTTCTAGTTCTGCTCTACTTCTAGATCTGCTTTTGCTCTGCTCTAGTTCTGTTCTAGTTCTGTTCTACTTCTAGTTCTGCTTTAGTTCTGCTCTAGTTCTGTTCTAGTTCTGTTCTAATTCTGTTCTACTTCTGTTCTAGTTTTGTTCTAGTTTTGTTCTAGTTTTGTTCTAGTTTTGTTCTAGTTTTGTTCTAGTTTTGTTCTAGTTTTGTTCTAGTTTTGTTCTAGTTTTGTTCTAGTTTTGTTCTAGTTTTGTTCTAGTTTTGTTCTAGTTTTGTTCTAGTTCTGTTCTAGTTCTATTCTAGTTCTGTTCTAGTTTTGTTCTAGTTCTGTTCTAGTTCATTTTTATTTTAGTTCTGGTTCTAGTTCTGTTCTAGTTTTGTTCTAGTTTTGTTCTAGTTTTGTTCTAGTTTTGTTCTAGTTTTGTTCTAGTTTTGTTCTAGTTTTGTTCTAGTTCTGTTCTAGTTCTGTTCTAGTTTTGTTCTAGTTCTGTTCTAGTTCTGTTCTAGTTCTGTTCTAGTTCTGTTCTAGTTCTGTTCTAGTTCATTTTTATTTTAGTTCTGGTTCTAGTTCTGTTCTAGTTCTGTTCTAGTTCTGTTCTAGTTCAGTACTTGTTCTGTTCCTCAGTTATAGTTCAATTCCAAATTAGTTCTAGTTTTGTTTCAGTTCTATTCTAGTTCTGTGTTAGTTTTGTTCTGTTTTGTTCTAGTTCTGTTCTAGTTCTGTTCTAGTTCTGTTCTAGTTCTGTTCTAGTTCTGTTCTAGTTCTGTTCTAGTTCTGTTCTAGTTCTGTTCTAGTTCTGTTCTAGTTCTGTTCTAGTTCTGTTCTAGTTCTGTTCTAGTTCTGTTCTAGTTCTGTTCTAGTTCTGTTCTAGTTCTGTTCTAGTTCTGTTCTAGTTCTGTCTAGTTCTGTTCTAGTTCTGTTCTAGTTCTGTTCTAGTTCTGTTCTAGTTCTGTTCTAGTTCTGTTCCTAGTTCTGTTCTAGTTCTGTTCTAGTTCTGTTCTAGTTCTGTTCTAGTTCTGTTCTAGTTCTAGTTCTGTTCTAGTTCTGTTCTAGTTCTGTTCTAGTTCTGTTCTAGTTTTGTTCTAGTTTTGTTCTAGTTTGTTCTAGTTCTGTTCTAGTTCTAGTTCTGTTCTAGTTCTATTCTAGTTCTGTTCTAGTTCTGTTCTAGTTCTGTTCTAGTTCTGTTCTAGTTCTGTTCTAGTTCTGTTCTAGTTCTGTTCTAGTTCTGTTCTAGTTCTGTTCTAGTTCTGTTCTAGTTCTGTTCTAGTTCTGTTCTAGTTCTGTTCTAGTTCTGTTCTAGTTCTGTTCTAGTTCTGTTCTAGTTCTGTTCTAGTTCTGTTCTAGTTCTGTTCTAGTTCTGTTCTAGTTCTGTTCTAGTTCTGTTCTAGTTCTGTTAGTTCTGTTCTAGTTCTGTTCTAGTTCTGTTCTAGTTCTGTTCTAGTTCTGTTCTAGTTCTGTTCTAGTTCTGTTCTAGTTCTGTTCTAGTTCTGTTCTAGTTCTGTTCTAGTTCTGTTCTAGTTCTGTTCTAGTTCTGTTCTAGTTCTGTTCTAGTTCTGTTCTAGTTCTGTTCTAGTTCTGTTCTAGTTCTGTTCTAGTTCTGTTCTAGTTCTGTTCTAGTTATGTTCTAGTTATGTTCTAGTTCTGTTCTAGTTCTGTTCTAGTTCTGTTCTAGTTCTGTTCTAGTTCTGTTCTAGTTCTGTTCCAGTTCTGTTCCAGTTTTGTTCTAGTTCTGTTCTAGTTCTATTCTAGGTCTGTTCTAGTTCTTTTCTAATTCTGTTCCAGTTTTGTTCTAGTTCTGTTCTAGTTCTATTCTAGGTCTGTTCTAGTTCTGTTCTAGTTCTTTTCTAATTCTGTTCTAGTTCTGTTCTAGTTCTTTTCTAGTTCTGTTCTAGTTCATTTATATTTTAGTTCTGGTTCTAGTTCTGTTCTAGTTCAGTTTTAGTTCAGTAATTGTTCCTCAGTTATAGTTCAATTCCAAATTAGTTCTAGTTTTGTTTCAGTTCTATTCTAGTTCTGTGTTAGTTTGGTCTAGTACTTCAGTTTTAGTTTTGTTCTAATACAATTTACATAAAATTTATTTAAATTAATGTTTTATCTATATAAAACGATTATATTTATATTTCCTATATCAATCAACAATTCCCCACCCTGAGATAAATAAACAAACAGCAATTCACCTCAACAGAGTTGCATTTAAACTGCCATGTCGTATGATTTTTTTTCTGCACACCAACAACAACAACATATACGCATTTCAACACAAAACAGCTGTCGTCTGCTTCTTCTTCAGCTAGAAAGTGTTCATCTCCAATTGGTACGTGTAAAGGAATTTGTTGCATTGTAAGATAAAATAAAAAGTAAATTTATGTATTTTTAACGTTGAAAATACAAAAATCCCCATTGTTAAAGTTTAATAAACACTTACAAATATTGTATGTAAACAATTTGCGGGAAATAAATTGTTTATTTTGAGGTGATTTAAAACACGGGCGTGTGTGTGTAGGTCAATTTTTTAACAATTGTGAAAGTTTTGCATTTGAGTAATTTTTTGGGAAAGTGCAAAAAAAAAATTTTGTAAGTACTGCTGGCAATTGTTAAATAAAATAAGCAGTATTGTTGAAAAGTTAAAGAAAATGTAAGTATTAAGAAGATTTTTGTCAAGATTTTATAAAAATTAAAGCAACAAGTTGTTGGATTTTAAAAGATTTAAGTAATTTGCTTAAATAAAAAATTTAGACTTATTTCTTATTAGAAAAAAATGGCTGTTGGTGTGATGGAGGCTTGTCTGCTATTAGCAGCTCAGACTTATTAGTGTAAATATGCAATTAAATGTAACAGCAAACACACAAACCATTAAAACATCTTGCATATTTTGTTAAAAAACTATTTGCTATTAGTTTTTTTTATTGCCGTTAGTGTATTTTTTCTGTTAAAAAAAGTACGCCCAAATTGCAGTCAATACGTAAAGGCGTAAGCAAAAAAAGAAAGGCCACTCATTGTTTTTTTTTTATGAAATTATTTTTTGTGTGTTTGCTTAGTTTGTATTGGGCTGCATATAATAAATGATTTCATTTTATAAATATTTGTAGATTGTTGAAGAAACAGAGAGAAAATATGTAGTATATGTATACTGGAATTTGTGATGTTATGCATATTAATTGTAGAATATTTTATGTCTGTTTTTAAATTGTATGTAAGGTTCTTTCTTGTTTTTAATGTGGCTGTCTTGCGAAATGATGACCTTGATCCATTTAATATTTATGAATTAACTTGACTTTATTATTAAGGCGGACTTTTCCATTGTTATGTAAAATCATTATATTTGCGCTTAAATAAGTAGTACTGGGAGTAAATTTGATTAATGTTTACAACATGTTTTAACTTGTAATACAAATGCCAGAGTAATAGGAGCGGAATTGTTAAATAGAACCATATTTCATTTAAAAAACCATGAAGAAATGCTCTTTCTATAGAAAAATTCGTAAAGAAAACCCTTTTGTATAGAAAACTACCTAAAGAAGACCCTTTTCAATAAAAAACTTTATAAAAAAGAAACTTTTCTATAGAAAAATGTTTAGTTATAGAGGCCACATTTCTAAGAACACATCTTTCTATAGAAAACGTTTTTGTGTTGTTTCTAGATCTAGTTCAGTTCTAGTTCGGTTCTAGTTCCGTTCTAGTTCTATTCTAATTCAGTTCTAGTTCAGTTTTAGTTCAGTTCTAGTTCAGTTCTAGTTCAGTTCAGTTCAGTTCTAGTTCAGTTCTAGTTCAGTTCTAGTTCAGTTCTAGTTCAGTTCTAGTTCAGTTCTAGTTCAGTTCTAGTTCAGTTCTAGTTCAGTTCTAGTTCAGTTCTAGTTCAGTTCTAGTTCAGTTCTAGTTCAGTTCTAGTTCAGTTCTAGTTCAGTTCTAGTTCAGTTCTAGTTCAGTTCTAGTTCAGTTCTAGTTCAGTTCTAGTTCAGTTCTAGTTCAGTTCTAGTTCAGTTCTAGTTCAGTTCTAGTTCAGTTCTAGTTCAGTTCTAGTTCAGTTCTAGTTCAGTTCTAGTTCAGTTCTAGTTCAGTTCTAGTTCAGTTCTAGTTCAGTTCTAGTTCAGTTCTAGTTCAGTTCAAGTTCAGTTCTAGTTCAGTTCTAGTTCAGTTCTAGTTCAGTTCTAGTTCAGTTCTAGTTCAGTTCTAGTTCAGTTCTAGTTCAGTTCTAGTTCAGTTCTAGTTCAGTTCTAGTTCAGTTCAAGTTCAGTTCTAGTTCAGTTCTAGTTCAGTTCTAGTTCAGTTCTAGTTCAGTTCTTGTTCAGTTCTATTTCAGGTCTAGTTCTGTTATAGTTCTGTTATAGTTCAGTTCTACTTCAGTTATAGTTCTGTTCTAGTTAATCTATATAAAAACTTTAGCTTTATACATTTTTTCTAAAATTTGTTCCGCCTTTTTTCTACAATTTGCAATTTTAGCAGCAAATTGACAAAATTGATAAAATGGCAAACTGGAAGTTATAGATAAGCAGTCATTTATCAAAAATATATTAATACATACTTGAGGAAATACCAGAGTTTCGAAATATAAATAAACCAGATAATGCCAGCTAATAGATAATATTTAAAAAAGAAATTTGTTATATTTTCACACTAAACATAAATTTGTTATGAAGATAAAAAGATAGTGGACATTTGAAAACTACTATGAAAGTGTCTTTTCTTAAAAGCTTTTTTAAGAAGACATTTTTTCTATAGAAAATTGATAAAAGAAGTTAACTTTTTTTGTAAAGAAATCTCATTAAAGATGTAACTTTTCTACAAGAAATCATCAAAGATGACAGTTTTCTGTTGAAAATTGATCAAAGAAGATACTATTCAGTGGAAGACATTATCAAGGGAGAACTTTTTCTAAGTAAACTTACATCAGACTTTCTATAGGAAATTTTTTTTTCGTTTCGTCTTTTCTTAGAAAAATTTTTAAAGAAGATACCTTACTATAGCATACGGTCTCTTGATGCACCTTTTCACTCTAAAAACTGACCAAACAGCTCACGTTTTTTTATTGCTGGAGCTGAGTCAGCACTTTTACTTGCAAGTGTTTGTGGTTGTTCAAACAGCTGCAACTTTTGCTTTCGTTTTTTGCTGTTGTTGCAGTTAATTATTTTGTTTTGCATATAATCTTTGTTGTGGTTTCCATATCTTTGTGTTTAAAGCTGTGGCTGTAGAAGATTTTCTGAGTTTTTGAATATGCTGCTGTTGGCTTTAGGGTTTTGTTGTGGTTGAGATTTCACTTTCGATTACTTAAGATCCTAGGGCTATTTGAGACTTTGGATTTTTGTATATAAAAGTGACAATAGATTTTCACTTTTGTTCTAGTTCAGTTCTAGTTCAGTTCTAGTTCAGTTCTAGTTCAGTTCTAGTTCAGTTCTAGTTCAGTTCTAGTTCAGTTCTAGTTCAGTTCTAGTTCAGTTCTAGTTTAGTTCTAGTTTAGTTCTAGTTTAGTTCTACTTCAGTTCTAGTTCAGTTCTAGTTCAGTTCTAGTTAGTTCTAGTTCAGTTCTAGTTCAGTTCTAGTTCAGTTCTAGTTCAGTTCTAGTTCTAGTTCAGTTCTAGTTCAGTTCTAGTTCAGTTCTAGTTCAGTTCTAGTTCAGTTCTAGTTCAGTTCTAGTTCAGTTCTAGTTCAGTTCTAGTTCAGTTCTAGTTCAGTTCTAGTTCAGTTCTAGTTCAGTTCTAGTTCAGTTCTAGTTCAGTTCTAGTTCAGTTCTAGTTCAGTTCTAGTTCAGTTCTAGTTCAGTTCTAGTTCAGTTCTAGTTCAGTTCTAGTTCAGTTCTAGTTCAGTTCTAGTTCAGTTCTAGTTCAGTTCTAGTTCAGTTCTAGTTCAGTTCTAGTTCAGTTCTAGTTCAGTTCTAGTTCAGTTCTAGTTCAGTTCTAGTTCAGTTCTAGTTCAGTTCTAGTTCAGTTCTAGTTCAGTTCTAGTTCAGTTCTAGTTCAGTTCTAGTTCAGTTCTAGTTCAGTTCTAGTTCAGTTCTAGTTCAGTTCTAGTTCAGTTCTAGTTCAGTTCTAGTTCAGTTCTAGTTCATTCAGTTCTAGTTCAGTTCTAGTTCAGTTCTAGTTCAGTTCTAGTTCAGTTCTAGTTCAGTTTCTAGTTCAGTTCTAGTTCAGTTCTAGTTCAGTTCTAGTTCAGTTCTAGTTCAGTTCTAGTTCAGTTCTAGTTCAGTTCTATTTCAGTTCTAGTTCAGTTCTAGTTCAGTTCTAGTTCAGTTCTAGTTCAGTTCTAGTTCAGTTCTAGTTCAGTTCTAGTTCAGTTCTAGTTCAGTTCTAGTTCAGTTCTAGTTCAGTTCTAGTTCAGTTCTAGTTCAGTTCTAGTTCAGTTCAGTTCTAGTTCAGTTCTAGTTCAGTTCTAGTTCAGTTCTAGTTCAGTTCTAGTTCAGTTCTAGTTCTAGTTCTAGTTCTGTTCTAGTTCTGTTCGTTCTGTTCTAGTTCTGTTCTAGTTCTGTTCTAGTTCTGTTCTAGTTCTGTTCTGTTTCTAGTTCTGTTCTAGTTTCTAGTTCTGTTCTAGTTCTGTTCTGTTCTAGTTCTGTTCTAGTTCTGTTCTAGTTCTGTTCTAGTTCTGTTCTGTTCTAGTTCTGTTCTAGTTCTGTTCTAGTTCTGTTCTGTTCTAGTTCTGTTCTAGTTCTGTTCTAGTTCTGTTCTAGTTCTGTTCTAGTTCTGTTCTAGTTCTGTTCTAGTTCTGTTCTAGTTCTGTTCTAGTTCTGTTCTAGTTCTGTTCTAGTTCTGTTCTAGTTCTGTTCTAGTTCTGTTCTAGTTCTGTTCTAGTTCTATTCTAGTTCTGTTCTAGTTCTGTTCTAGTTCTGTTCTAGTTCTGTTCTAGATCTGTTCTAGTTCTGTTCTAGTTTTGTTTTAGTTCTGTTCTAGTTCTGTTCTAGTTCTATTCTGTTCTAGTTCTGCTCTAGTTCTGTTCTACTTCTGTTCTAGTTTTGTTTTAGTTCTGATCTAGTTTTAGTTCTGTTTTAGTTCTCTCCTAGTTCTGTTGTAGTAAATACTTATTCCTAAAGAAAAGTTTTTTGTTAGAATAGATTTTCTATAACTTTCTTTTAATTATTTTCTCTTTCTTTCCAGTACAATGTCCAACAATTCCACCAAACAGCAAGAACTTAAACATATTGGTTCTATAGTTCGTGCCCTGGTAACTTCACGTAAACCGCCATGTTATTTACGCGATATTTTAAGAGAATATCCCGAAGTGGAAAGTAAACCTCTACCATTCAAATCTATGGGCTATAAAACAGCTCAAGAGCTACTAGAAGATACTGGAGAATTTATTTTCAATAGCTATGGCAATGGAGATGTGAGTAATTAATAATTTGAAACGAAATAACAGAAGAAAAATAAACAAAGAAACACAAAAAAAAAACGAAAGCCTTAGTAATTTTATATTAAATAAATTTTAAATAAAATAATGCATTATAGACATGTACTTATAGCAAACATATAAGAAATAACAAAAAACGAGTGGGGATTTTCGTTTTTTTGATATGATGCATGCCTGCCTGCCAGTTTGGCTGCCATAGCTAAAGCATTCACTCACTCATTCATTCACCCCATTTGAAGATTTGATTTTACTTTTGTTTTATTTTTTTTTGTTATTTATTGCTGATGCTGTTGTTTTTGACTTCTCCTTCTTCTTTTTAATTTTATCGAAATTGAAAAATATGCAATTGTTTATGTTTCTTGCTACAAATGAAATTATAAATAGATTTTCTTTAGTGTGTGTATAAATAAATATAAAAAAAAATTCAATGTGAAGACAACGACGATAAAGACGAGGACGATACATACAAATATGTATCTACATAGCTTCAGTTTTATTAAACATTTTAAAGCAAACGTTTGTGTTTCTTCGTTTATTGTTTTATTTAATTAACAAAAAAATTCCATAACTTTTTCTTTCTATTGTTGTTTTTCCCCTTAAAAACTAAAGGTTATTATAACCGCCAAGTATAGTAAAAATTCAGCCCATATAACGTCTATGGTAAGAGGTCAGAAGTCTAGTAAAAGTACTCGTATTGCTCCGGTTAAAGCAATGAAACAACCATCTCGTATGCCCTCACGTTCGAATGGTTTTGGTGATCGCAATAATAATAATTATACAAATAATCGTACTACTGGTTCTTCTTCGTCTACACAACAACAAAGAAATTATAATAATCAACCACAAAATCAAACACAATCTTTGCAAAGACAAAAATCTATGGGCAGTACTAGCAGTGGCAATAATCCACCAGCTAAAGATTTACGTGAAATGTTGAATTCCAAGAAAAATCTTAAAACTAATTTGCAACAAACAAAACCTACAACAGCACAACAATCACCTTTAGCTAGTAAAGTTATACAACCGCAACAAGGCAAAGTTCAGCAACAACAACAGCAACAGCAGCAACAACAAAAACAGTCGGCTGGTGGCCCTAGACCTATACTTGGTGCTGCCAAACAACAACAGCAACAACCGCCACAAACCAGAGAGTCTCAAAAAACGGAAGTGAAATCTCAACCACAACAAAAGCCTAATGGTCCATCGACAGCTAATAATAAAAAAGTGGAAAACACTTCTTCAGGCTCCACTTTAAAACCACAACAAAGATTAAATGCCATACAAAATAATCAGCAACAGCAAACGAAAACAAATCCAGCTGCTACTGCTGCTGTTGTTCAACAACCACAAACACTTGCTGTTAAAACTGCTAATGCCGCCGCATCAGCTTCAACACAAAAACCTTTAACATATAACAACGTACAAGGCAACTCTTCCTTTAAAGCCATGGATCAAACGAAACCAAATGCGGCTGCTGGTATACAGAATCGTTTGAAGGTTCATGTTAAACCGGAATATCCAACACAGGTAGGGAATTAATAATTAATAAGTTTCAGTTCTGTTCTTGTTCTGTTCTAGTTCTGTTCTAGTTCTGTTCTAGTTCTGTTCTAGTTCTGTTCTAGTTCTGTTCTAGTTGTTCTAGTTCTGTTCTAGTTCTGTTCTAGTTCTGTTCTAGTTCTGTTCTAGTTCTGTTCTAGTTCTGTTCTAGTTCTGTTCTAGTTCTGTTCTAGTTCTGTTCTAGTTCTGTTCTAGTTCTGTCTAGTTCTGTTCTAGTTCTGTTCTAGTTCTGTTCTAGTTCTGTTCTAGTTCTGTTTCTAGTTCTGTTCTAGTTCTGTTCTAGTTCTGTTCTAGTTTCTAGTTCTGTTCTAGTTCTGTTCTAGTTCTGTTCTAGTTCTGTTCTAGTTCTGTTCTGTTCTAGTTCTGTTCTAGTTCTGTTCTAGTTCTGTTCTAGTTCTGTTCTAGTTCTGTTCTAGTTCTGTTCTAGTTCTGTTCTAGTTCTGTTCTAGTTCTGTTCTAGTTCTGTTCTAGTTCTGTTCTAGTTCTGTTCTAGTTCTGTTCTAGTTCTGTTCTAGTTCTGTTCTAGTTCTGTTCTAGTTCTGTTCTAGTTCTGTTCTAGTTCTGTTCTAGTTCTGTTCTAGTTCTGTTCTAGTTCTGTTCTAGTTCTGTTCTAGTTCTGTTCTAGTTCTGTTCTAGTTCTGTTCTAGTTCTGTTCTAGTTCTGTTCTAGTTCTGTTCTAGTTCTGTTCTAGTTCTGTTCTAGTTCTGTTCTAGTTCTGTTCTAGTTCTGTTCTAGTTCTGTTCTAGTTCTGTTCTAGTTCTGTTCTAGTTCTGTTCTAGTTCTGTTCTAGTTCTGTTCTAGTTCTGTTCTAGTTCTGTTCTAGTTCTGTTCTAGTTCTGTTCTAGTTCTGTTCTAGTTCTGTTCTAGTTCTGTTCTAGTTCTGTTCTAGTTCTGATCTAGTTCTGTTCTAGTTCTGTTCTAGTTCTGTTCTAGTTCTGTTCTAGTTCTGTTCTAGTTCTGTTCTAGTTCTGTTCTAGTTCTGTTCTAGTTCTTTTCTAGTTCTGTTCTAGTTCTATTCTAGTTCTGTTCTAGTTCTGTTCTAGTTCTGTTCTAGTTCTGTTCTAGTTCTGTTCTAGTTCTGTTCTAGTTCTGTTCTAGTTCTATTCTAGTTCTATTCTAGTTCTATTCCAGTTCTGTTCAGTTTGTAATTAAAACTTTTTCTTTAATGTCTTTTTCAGCCCATTACCTACAATCATCAGTTCAGCAATGCACCCAAAATCGATTACAATGCCTTTCCACATCATCAGTTTAGCAATCAACCGCCTAAAATGGATGCTATTGCTTCCATTATACAATATTGTCGTTCTAAAAATTATCCAGCTCCTCGATTCAATGTTCTCAAAGACAAATTTTCACGTGGCACTTACTCATGTAGTGTACATATTAATGACATCATATTCTCCACATATCCCCATGAATATGAGACTGAGTATTTAGCTAAAGAAGCGTGCGCTAAGCGAGCTTTGGAAAAGACAAAAATGCTGGAAAAGAAACGACCCCTGCCTACGTGTGCTTTAACAGATACTGAACTATTGGATAAACTCTATACCGAGTTGCTAAATCATCCACATGGTATTTTTGCCAAAAATTTACCCGAAACATTTGAGACAACGTTCCAGCAACAATTGCCCGATAATTGGTGGGCCTTGGTGCAGACTTCTAGTTTATTTACCACAGAAACTAATTTGGGTAAAGTGATTATATTCGCCAACAAGGATGCTGATAAGGATACGTTGGCTTTGTGTACTGGTGAGGCCACTAAGACTATACAAATCGATCCCATACGTTTACCCTGGTCTGATGAATATTGGAATGTTTTCATTACGCACTGTACCTCTACCGTAGAGGTTTGGGGACGCTTATTTGGCCAGGAATATAATGTACGTTTTAGTGCTTTGGTTAATGATATAGAAGCCTATATGGCCACCAAAAAGGAACGTCCTGTATCCATAGCACGCAAAAATATCTATCTTGTACACATTAACGAATGCTGGCATCGTGTAAGAGTAGAAGAATTAGATAAATCTAAGGGTAGTGCTTTGTGTTTCTTCATCGATTTCGGGGATGCTGACTGGTTGGCGGTCGATCAATTGCACATCTGTGAAACACATTTCCTAAAACTGCCGGCACAAGCAGTGCCGTTTTCTTTGTATGGTTTGGAAGATTTCGAGGGCAATCCGTATGCACGCAAATGTTTAGATGATCTATTACCCACCAAATCTTTGGTAGGTCGCATTTTTACCAAGGAATCAGAATTCTATGATACCAACTCCAAGAGTCATGGTAAAATACAATTGGTGCTATTTGATACTTCCACCCAAGAGGATCTCAATCTTAATCATCAGCTATTGAATACCATCTGTAGTGAGACAATGGTACCGGAAATTAAACAAAGTACCGTAACCAATGTCATTGTAACACACATTAACGATCAGGGTGATATTTATCTGCAAGTTAATAACGCAGAATTGAAATATGTGCAAGTAAGTGGAGAATAGGAGGAGTAATTGGAAAGGGACTAAATATGTTTTCTTATTTACAGAAACTTTTGCAACAAATTGTTGAATCTAAATTCAATAGTGATCAACATAAAATCTCTTTTGAGGATCTAAAACGTTCCAATTTATTTTTAATTTGTGATGATGAAGATGCCACCAATATTAAATGGTATCGTGCTGCCTTAACGGACTCAAATATACAACCGGGTAGTGAGAGTTATGAAATGTATTATGTGGACAATGGTCGCACTAAATTAACAAATATTTCGAAAATATTTTTATTGGATAGTTTAAGTATGGCTTTGAGTAAATTCCCTGCTCAAGCCATCAAGGTGAGACTGCATAATATACCCGATATCACAAACAATATTGTGGGACGTATACGTGGTCTATTACCCAGTGATTGTGAAGCTTTAGTGAGTATAACAAAAGCCAAGAAAAGTTACTTCTTTTAAAACTTCTCTCTTCTTTACAGGTAAGACTGTCTGTACCCGGTTCTACTCCTCCGCTGGTAACAATTTATACACGTTTGGAGGGTCCCGGTACTTTATGTACTATTAACGATGTGATACGTATAGAACATGAGCTAGAAGGGTGTGTACATTTTGTTACTAAAACATTCTCTCTTATATTTATTATATTCTCTCTCTTTCAGATGTTCTGATTTACTACAAGGTTGTGCTCTAGACGAAACTAATACTACTACCAAATCTAATCAGGATATTGGCAAGAAACTCTCACACAGCACTAGTGGCTCCTCACTAGCCTCGCCCACTACACCCACGACCAATCCCTTCATTGATGTAACACGTGGTCTTACTTTAACTAAAGTACCCGGATCACCACAAAAATCTTCTGATCTCCCTAAATTGCAAAATTATGCAGCCATACCAAAAATTAATGAATACTTTGAAGTACGCATAACAATGTCGGCCAATCCTTCGAACTTTACGGTAGGTTTCTCTTTTATTTGATATTGCAAGTTTCTAATTGTTTTATTGTTTTTTATATTTCTAGATACAACCCTATAAAGATTATCCCAATTTGAGGGGATTAATGAAAGAATTACAAGAATTTTGTGAGAATAGTGATGAATTTATACCAACTGATATGGTGGAAATAGGCGAGGCTTATGCTGCCAAAAATCCCGATGGATTCTTTCATAGGTGAGCTAGAACAGAACTAGAACAGAACTAGAACATAACTAGAACAGAACTAGAACAGAACTAGAACAGAACTAGAACAGAACTAGAACAGAACTAGAACAGAACTAGAACAGAACTAGAACAGAACTAGAACAGAACTAGAACAGAACTAGAACAGAACTAGAACAGAACTAGAACAGAACTAGAACAGAACTAGAACAGAACTAGAACAGAACTAGAACAGAACTAGAACAGAACTAGAACAGAACTAGAACAGAACTAGAACAGAACTAGAACAGAACTAGAACAGAACTAGAACAGAACTAGAACAGAACTAGAACAGAACTAGAACAGAACAGAACAGAACTAGAACTAGAACTAGAACAGAACAGAACTAGAACAGAACTAGAACCAGAACAGAACTAGAACAGAACTAGAACAGAACTAGAACAGAACTAGAACAGAACTAGAACAGAACTAGAACAGAACTAGAACAGAACTAGGACAGAACTAGAACAGAACTAGTACAGAACTAGAAGAGAACTAGAACAGAACTAGAACAGAACTAGTACAGAACTAGAAGAGAACTAGAACAGAACTAGAACAGAACTAGAACAGAACTAGAACAGAACTAGAACAGAACTAGAACAGAACTAGAACAGAACTAGAACTGAACTAGAACAGAACTAGAACAGAACTAGAACAGAACTAGAACAGAACTAGAACAGAACTAGAACAGAACTAGAACAGAACTAGAACAGAACTAGAACAGAACTAGAACAGAACTAGAACAGAACTAGAACAGAACTAGAACAGAACTAGAACAGAACTAGAACAGAACTAGAACAGAACTAGAACAGAACTAGAACAGAACTAGAATATAACTAGAATATAACTAGAACAGAACTGGAACAGAACTGGAACAGAACTAGAACAGAACTAGAACAGAACTAGTACAGAACTAGAGCAGAACTAGAACAGAACTAGAACAGAACTAGAACAGAACTAGAACAGAACTAGAACAGAACTAGAACAGAACTAGAACAGAACTAGAACAGAACTAGAACAGAACTAGAACAGAACTAGAACAGAACTAGAACAGAACTAGAACAGAACTAGAACAGAACTAGAACAGAACTAGAACAGAACTAGAACAGAACTAGAACAGAACTAGAACAGAACTAGAACAGAACTAGAACAGAACTAGAACAGAACTAGAACAGAACTAGAACAGAACTAGAACAGAACTAGAACAGAACTAGAACAGAACTAGAACAGAACTAGAACAGAACTAGAACAGAACTAGAACAGAACTAGAACAGAACTAGAACAGAACTAGAACAGAACTAGAACAGAACTAGAACAGAACTAGAATATAACTAGAACAGAACTGGAACAGAACTGGAACAGAACTAGAACAGAACTAGAACAGAACTAGAACAGAACTAGGACAGAACTAGAACAGAACTAGTACAGAACTAGAAGAGAACTAGAACAGAACTAGAACAGAACTAGTACAGAACTAGAAGAGAACTAGAACAGAACTAGAACTAGAACTAGAACAGAACTAGAACAGAACTAGAACAGAACTAGAACAGAACTAGAACAGAACTAGAACAGAACTAGAACAGAACTAGAACTGAACTAGAACAGAACTAGAACAGAACTAGAACAGAACTAGAACAGAACTAGAACAGAACTAGAACAGAACTAGAACAGAACTAGAACAGAACTAGAACAGAACTAGAACAGAACTAGAACAGAACTAGAACAGAACTAGAACAGAACTAGAACAGAACTAGAACAGAACTAGAACAGAACTAGAACAGAACTAGAACAGAACTAGGACAGAACTAGAACAGAACTAGAGCAGCACTAGAACCGAACTAGAACAGAACTAGAACAGAACTAGAACAGAACTAGAACAGAACTAGAATAGAACTAGAACAGAACTAGAACAGAACTAGAACAGAACTAGAACAGAACTAGAACAGAACTAGAACAGAACTAGAACAGAACTAGAACAGAACTAGAACAGAACTAGAACAGAACTAGAACAGAACAGAACTAGAAAGAACTAGTACAGAATTAGAACAGAACTAGAACAGAACTAGAACAGAATTAGAACAGAACTAGAACTGAACTAAAACTGAAACTAGATGAATAATTTTCTTTTTTACTCCAATAATTACAGAGTTACTGTTGTTAAAAAATATGGTGATATGATGCATGTATCATTCTGCGATTTTGGCGATATAGCAACATTAGATAGCAGTCAATTAAAGACGTTGCCTTTTAAATTCCGTCAATTACCCAAAATGGCTATACAAGCCAAGCTTTATGGTAAGTCTCGTTTCCTAAGTTTTCTATTATTATATTTTCTTTTTTTTTAAATGATGACAAAAATATCAAACCATATCAAACCCTCCACTCAAAAAATAGGCATTAAAGCTGTTAATGGTGATTGGACCTTAGATGATTGTTTATTTTTCCGTAAACTAACGGTGGGTAAAACTTTTGTATCGGTCATTAAAGATATAAAATACGATAAGGACTGTACCCCGGCCACACCCATACTCGAACTGGAATTAATTGATGTCACCACGGATGAAGATATTTTGATACATGAACTTTTACTCAATGAAAAACGTGCTATTAACGAATGAATATTTTTTTTTAACCAAATGATAATCTCGTGCTTATAGGGGGACCTATAAAAAATATTCGTTTAATTTCTTTTTTCAACTTCTACAGAATGTGGGTAATTTAATAATTTCATAATTATTTCTCTTTAGTTGTACATACGTGTTGATCACGTAAGATTATTATTATTTTTTTAACTATTTATATTACACAAACGAATTACTTATAGAAAAACATATAATTTTTCATTATATTTAACGACATTTTCACATTCACATTCCGAAATTTGTTTAATTTAACGAAAAAAAAAAATTACTTATTTCCTTAAACTCATTAAAAAAAGGAAAAACACAAACTCATTTTTAAACGAACGTTATTAAAGCATTTTCCAAGGCTTTATCATCATTATTTTGTTTTTTTTTTAAATTCTTATTTAAAGCTTTTAAAAGTAAATTTTAAGCTGACAGACAGACTTTTCTTATCATTTCACTTTTGTTTTAAGTTAAGTTTCTTTTCACTTTCTTGTTATAAACTAAACATCGTTTTAGTTCTATCTTCATTTTATTCATAGAAACAAAAAGTTAAAAAAGAAAATAGAAAAAAAAATTAATTTACTAACTCAATTATTATTATTTTCATACATAAATATGCGTGTGTATTTATTTGAATGCAAATAATTTTTTTTCAAAATGAGAATTATAGACATGAATAGAATATTAATTACACAAATCAACTATATATATAATAATAAAAGCAACTTATAAATATGCGAAAATTATAAAAAAAATTCATGATATTATCAAAAAATTATGCGTTTTTATTGTCTTTAAGTTTTAAGCTCGTGCAACGTTTTATTCGTAATGGTGTTAGTGATACAAATAAACTTCATAATACAAAATTTGTATGCTATTATTCTTTGTTCTCAATAATTCAATTAAAATGCATAAAAATTATAAAGAAATTAAGTGATAACATGGACTAAACTTAAGTCCGACTAGATCTAAGTACAGATCTAGAACAGGACGAACACAGAACTAGAACATAACTAAAACAGAACTAGAACAGAACTAGAAAATAACTACAACAGAACTCGAACAGAACTAGAACAGAACTAGAACAGAACTAGAACAGAACTAAAACAGAACTAGAACAGAACTAGAACAGAACTAGAAGAGAACTAGAACAGAACTAGAACAGAACTAGAACAGAACTAGAACAGCACTAGAACAGAACTAAAACAAAACTAAAACAAAACTAAAACAGAACTAGAATAGAACTAGAACAAAAGTAGAACAGAACTAGAACGGAACTAAAACAGAACTAGAACAGAACTAGAACATAACTAGAACAGAACTAGAACAGAACAGAACTAGAACAGAACTAGAACAGAACTAGAACAGAACTAGAACAGAACTAGAACAGAACTATAAAACAGAACTAGAACAGAACTAGAACAGAACTAGAACAGAACTAGAACAGAACTAGAACAGAACTAGAACAGAACTAGAACAGAACTAGAACAGAACTAGAACAGAACTAGAACAGAACTAGAACAGAACTAGAACAGAACTAGAACAGAACTAGTACAGCACTGGAACAGAACTAGAACAGCACTAGAAACAGAACTAAAACAAAACTAAAACAAACTAAAACAGAACTAGAATAGAACTAGAACAAAAGTAGAACAGAACTAGAACGGAATTAAAACAGAACTAGAACAGAACTAGAACATAACTAGAACAGAACTAGAACAGAATTAGAACATAACTAGAACAGAACTAGAACAGAACTAGAACAAAACTAGAACAGAACTAGAACAGAACTAGAACAGAACTAGAACAGAACTAGAACAGAACTAGAACAGAACTAGAACAGAACTAGAACAGAACTAGAACAGAACTAGAACAGAACTAGAACAGAACTAGAACAGAACTAGAACAGAACTAGAACAGAACTAGAACAGAACTAGAACAGAACTAGAACAGAACTAGAACAGAACTAGAACAGAACTAGAACAGAACTAGAACAGAACTAGAACAGAACTAGAACAGAACTAGAACAGAACTAGTACAGCACTGGAACAGAACTAGAACAGCACTAGAACAGAACTAAAACAAAACTAAAACAAAACTAAAACAGAACTAGAATAGAACTAGAACAAAAGTAGAACAGAACTAGAACGGAATTAAACAGAACTAGAACAGAACTAGAACATAACTAGAACAGAACTAGAACAGAACTAGAACATAACTAGACAGAACTAGAACAGAACTAGAACAGAACTAGAAACAAACTAGAACAAACTAGAACAGAACTAGAACAGAACTAGAACAGAACTAGAACAGAACTAGAACAGAACTAGAACAGAACTAGAACAGAACTAGAACAGAACTAGAACAGAACTAGAACAGAACTAGAACAGAACTAGAACAGAACTAGTACAGCACTGGAACAGAACTAGAACAGCACTAGAACAGAACTAAAACAAAACTAAAACAAAACTAAAACAGAACTAGAATAGAACTAGAACAAAAGTAGAACAGAACTAGAACGGAATTAAAACAGAACTAGAACAGAACTAGAACAGAACTAGAACAGAACTAGAACATAACTAGAACAGAACTAGAACAGAACTAGAACAGAACTAGAACAAAACTAGAACAGAACTAGAACAGAACTAGAACAGAACTAGAACAGAACTAGAACAGAACTAGAACAGAACTAGAACAGAACTAGAACAGAACTAGAACAGAACTAGAACAGAACTAGAACAGAACTAGAACAGAACTAGAACAGAACTAGAACAGAACTAGAACAGAACTAGAACAGAACTAGATCAGAACTGGAACAGAACTAGAACAGAACTAGAACAGAACTAGAACAGAACTAGAACAGAACTAGAACAGAACTAGAACAGAACAGAACTGGAACAGAACTAGAACAGCACTAGAACAGAACTAAAACAAAACTAAAACAGAACTAGAATAGAACTAGAACAAAAGTAGAACAGAACTAGAACGGAACTAAAACAAAACTAGAACAGAACTAGAACATAACTAGAACAGAACTAGAACAGAACTAGAACAGAACTAGAACAGAACTAGAACAAAACTAGAACAGAACTAGAACAGAACTAGAACAAAACTAGAACAGAACTAGAACAAAACTAGAACAAAACTAGAACAAAACTAGAACAGAACTAGAACAGAACTAGAACTAGAACAGAACTAGAACTAGAACAGAACTAGAACAGGACTAGAACATAACTAGAACAGAACTAGAACAGAACTAGAACAGAACTAGAACAGAACTAGAACTAGAACTGAACTAGAACTGAACTAGAACTGAACTGGAACTGAACTAGAACTGAAGTAGAACTGAACTAGAACCGAACTAGAACTGAACTAGAACTGAACTAGAACTGAACTGGAACAGAATTAGAACTGAAATAAAATTGAACTGGAACAGAATTAGAACAGAACTAGAACTGAACTAGAAGAAAACAGATCTATGTTTAGTGAAAGTCTTATATAACCCTCTGTCTCATACACTCGGAGTTTCTGGCGATTGCGAGCCATTGTCGAAGATCTCAAACTGGTCTGCTGCGAAAGATTTTATTTTCTAGTCGTTAACGTTATATTTTAGTAACATTCGGTACGTAATCAATTTGGTATTTGCTTTTAGACTAGGGAATGTATTGATAGGAATTTTATATTTCCATGAGGGAAGAATAGAAGCGATTTGAGAATGTAAGACCTACATTATGCTGACTGCCTAAACTTCTAAAGTTTTATATTCGAACTAGATTTACATAGTGTTGTTATCTTGTTGTTTGTCTGTCATACTTTACCCATTTAGACCCCTCTGCCCTTGAAATCAAAACTCAGTTAAAATTTAAATATATTTCAAATATAGATATATATTTTATTTTTCTTTTCAGTTTTATATAGATTTTATATGTATGTATATAATAATATTTTTTTGTTTTGTTTTTATTTTTTAATTATTTATATTATACTCTGTTTTTTATACACAACTTAATTTTTGCCGTTTTTTGTATTTTGTTTTAATATTATTTTTGTAATTTGTTTTTTTTTGAAATTGTTATTAATGTTTTAATATGGTAATAAGTTGTTGTTGTTGTTATTATTATTAGAATTTTAATAATTTTTTATGCAGATTTTAAGATTTTCTTTTGTTTTGTTTTTGTATTATTTTGAAAAGTAATAATATTTTTATTTAAAGAATTAAATTCTAGAGTAATTATTTAAATTAAATATTATTAAGGTCTGGTTTTAATTTGTGTTTTTTTCTTCTTTTATATTTATATTTAGTTTGAAATATAAAAACCGTTTTTTTATTTATTTATCAATTTTTTAAATTATTTTATTATTATTAATATAAATATAAGTTTTTCTTTTTTTTAATGTTTAATACAATTCTTAAGTTTTTGTTTTTGTTTTAAATCTTACAAACCATGTTTTTTGTTGTTTTAAACGTGCACCATTTCAATTTCAAGTTTCTTTTTTCTTCATTTTAATACTTATTTAACATTTACTTTACAATATTTTTATTTTATTGTGTCTTTTACACCTTTTTTTATAAATTATTTATCAATTTTATTTTTTCGTAAGTCTAATATTTTAAACTTTAAACTCTAACAATCTCTTTAATTCTCTCTCGCAAAAAAACATTCTAATTTATTTATTCATTTATTGGTTTTAAACTCTTAAATTGTTTGTTAATTTTAGTTACAATTATTTTAAATTAATTAGAATTAAATATTGAATTAATTTTAGATACTATTCCCTATTCCTTTTACTAAGGGTGTCACAGTGTTTTCTAAAATAAAGGAAATTTAGGAAAATTTCCAAAAAAGTTAAGAATATATTCAGAATAGTTATAAAATTCCATTATTTTGCTTTCAATATAAAGAAAATTAAAAATTTCTCTTATAGGGACATTTTTTTTATAAAGGGAAATTTTAAAAATTTTGTTATATAATCGCTAATATTTCATATATACTATAAAATGACATAAAAATTTCCAAATTTTAGCTAAAAATAAAAATTTCCCTAATAGGGAAATTTTTTCAAATAAGGGAAATTTTATAAATTTTTATAAATATGAAGATTATGAAAGAAATACAATAAGAAACTGTAAAAATTTTGAAAAAATATTGTAAAATAAAAATTTCCCTTAAAGGGAAATTTTTTTAAATAGGGGAAATTTAATAAAATTTTGTAGAAATCAAGAATATGGAAGAAATACAATAAAATTTCGAAAAATTTTTTGAAAAATATTCCAAAATAAAAATTTCCCTCAAAAGGGAAATTTTTTAAACAATAACCTTTTTATGAAATTTTTATAAAAATTAATATAACAGATAAAATGCTGTAAAAAATTTTTAAATTTTAAGCGAAATAAAAATTTCCCTTAAAGGGAAATTTTTTTAAACAGGGGAAATTTTATAAAATTTTGTAGAAATGAAATAATAATGATAAATAAAAATTTCCCTTTAAGGGAAATTTTTTCTAAAAAGGAAATTTTTATAAAATTCTATATACATAAATGTAAATTTGAAAAAAAAAATTAGAAAAAAATCCCTTCAACATTTCATTAATTTTTACCAAAATAAGGGAAATTTCATAAAAACATTTTTAACATATCAACAAATTTCCCTTTAATCCTGTATCTCTTCCTTCGAAATCTACATTCTTTTCCAAATATTTATCAATTTTAAAATTTCCCTTTAAGTGTGTTTTACTTTCTTCGAATTCAAAAATTCTTTTACATTTTTC